TAATAAGGATGAAATCACGTGTATCATGGGAATGAGTATTAAAACAGAGTAGTTCAAAACCAGAGAGAATCCAATTTTGGCCAGTCATCTTTTTTCGACAGCCAGTCAGAGTTCTATTTTTAATGCACCCATTTGGTTGAGATACCCACTGGGTTGATTGTCCCTCCCATTGGGAGGTCCATCGTCAAACCAGTTAAATGCTAGCCTTACGTAACTATGTGGCAATCCATTGGAATCAATGTGTCCGTATCAATTCCCATCGGAGGGCTGTTCCATCAAACCTGTGGCGATTATAACTGGTCGGCTGGCTGAATGGCCCATAGCCCTTGGTTACATCATAGCTCAATAGTTCTGAGAGCAACAAGGAAGTAGTAGCTACTATCGAATCAATTGACTATATATTCTCCTTAGAGAACTGACCGGTTAAGTGTTATGAGCGCACCTATAGGCTTCCTCCAATGCATAGTATACGTGGTCAATCTATGACAATCTATGAAGAACTATGGTTTCAAACGATGTTCGGAGGCACATCTAGTCTGGCTCCTATGCTTCCAGTACCAAGTGCAGGGGAAGACTGACGATTTAATGAGCATAAATTTCCACCGTAAGTATCCTACGTATGCCTCAGGCCTAGGACTGAAGAACTTCCCGACTGTCAACCTAGAGACTCAGATCATGCAGCATCTTACACAAAATCTCCTTCAAACACCAGATCTGGTGGAAGAGTCAAACGGGTTTCTTGATTCAGATTGTCTAGGCTCTTGTGGCTCTGAGAGTAGCTTGACTTACGACAACCAACAACTTTTGATCACGAGCTGCAAAATTGTGAGCCTGGATTCACGAACTTGTTGAATAACGAGGTTCTTCCTTTCCTTTGGAACAATGTGAGTTGCATCTAGCATCTATTACTTTTCATTATCGAGCTGAGAACGATATCAAGGACATGACATATGATGAATGTGCAGTCATACTAAAACACCCTTGGTATTCTTCAACTGCACTGCCGAATATTGAAGTCCCAGAACCGTCTGATAGCTCTATTTGTAGACGCAGTAGCGTGCAAGCGTACCAAGAGCCACACATCCTGCCCTCAAATCTTATCGACTGCTCAACTCTTCCTTTGAAAGAACGACGCAATCCGGAGGCCAGAACCGAAATCAGGCATCAATTGCAAATTAATGACTTCAAGACAAAAGATTGCACACAGTCAGAGTGAAAGGCGGTACCGCCGGAATCTCGACGCCGAGTTCTTACAATTAGAAGATGTAGTGAGTTGGGACCATGGCGAAAACACGAAGGATTGCCCCATGGCATCCAAAAGGTTGCGGAGAGTGCAATTACTAGGGATGGCTCGTCTGAATATCTTGGAACTTCAAAAGAAGTCATGTATTTGAAGAGGAAGCTTCGGATTCTACGTGAGGCTACTATGCCTGAGACCTGCAGATTGACGATGGATGGTGAGGTTATTGGACTTTAGGGGCCAAGATTTGTTTGATCTGTGCTTTTGCTGGCGCAGCTAACTGGCTCATCACACATATGACCATCATGCCATATCCCATATCATCTAATATTTCGAAATATTGAAGAACCAAGGCGGTGATCCAAAAGAATTCAACGCTTATCATAACGGTTGGCCATGTCTTCATTATGGCGTTTGACACCATTTGATTTGGATTTCGGGCCCAATTCGCCACTCTCGGTATTGGGACCTTCACGGTGCATTTTGAGGCTGTAATATTCATCATTTTCTTTAGCTCCGTTCGTTGCTGTGGATTTTGGGAGTTCTAAAATATTAGACATTTCGTCAGCAAAAATAATTAATACCAACATATGAAATCCATGATGCAATAACTAAGAAGTAGAGCCAGGTGTATTATTACCTTTGTCCTCTGAACGGTCCTCATTTGGATTGCTGTCCGGCGGACTCTCGGCATCGTCATCGCGAGCCTCTGCCTTGTTCACCAGACCCTTGGGCTTGTCTTGAATAAAAATCGCGATTCCTGCCGGGCGGGCCATATTATATTGACAGTAGCGACAAATCAAGAAAGTTGTTCGCATGCCTCGTTTAAGACTCATTTTGTTTAGGCTCTGCATTGTGACAATATAGACAACAGTATTTTCCTACCTCTTGAAGTGAAAAGAATAATCGTTTTAAAAGGCCAGAACTTGGCCTTCGCTGTGGCAAAATTTGGGTCCAGTAGCTTGCCTACGTTAATCATGTGATGTCCTAATACACATAAAATTTCACCACCCCATCCGAACCAAGGTACGGCTATCCTTAGCTTCTGTCGCCACTAATATAGCTCTAGATCAACTCTCCAAAATATACGTCATGAGCGGGCGTAGGTTTATATAATGTGTTCAATACGTCTTAATGATGCCCATTATACATGTCTAGAACACGACACGGGCTGTTTGTGCTAAAGCAGGCAAGTTGATCATCCTAGCTTACTATGATGAGAACAAAAAGCCTAGAGAAACAACTCTTGCGGTTGAGAAAACAGCCAACAAGTCCAGAGAGCTACGGTACTAGCTACTAAAATAAAAGATCATGTCATCTAAGGATGAAGTATTGGTTTCAGAAGTCTTCCGTAAGGGTGAAGTAGACTACAACTTTAGAAAACCAAATCAGCGGCGTTAAAGGTTATTTGATACAAATACGAGGATGCCGTAGAGGATTTGATATAATTTCATCTTTTCCCCTAGAAGTACAGAGAAATTTCGAGTAGCGGAATGCATTTAATCAAGCCGATCCAGGCCTATTCTCGGCTATCTGAATAAACGTGCCAAGATCGTGAGTAGAAACCTTCCAGGAATCAAGCATCAAACGAAAGAGATTCAACGGCGAGTAGTGCTCTGAGGAATAACTCACGGTCTATGAGAAAACTTTATTGAAGGCGACAATGACCTCCATAATTTGGGCTTCTAGGTCATTGCTTAATTCGCCTTCATCTTCGATCCTGGAGAGCAGCTCTGGCTTGTTGTGTCTGCAGTGGGCGAGAAACTCAGCTTCCCAATCCATAATCCTGTTAACAGGTATATTATCAAAAAGACCATTAATACCAGCATAGATCAAGGGTACCATCTCATTGACAGCCATAGGAGCGTACTGCTTTTGTTTTAAAAGCTCAATCAGACGCTCGCCACGTCGAAGAGTTTGCTTCGTGGCGGCATCCAGATCCGAACCTAGCTGAGAAAAGGCCGCAACTTCGCGATATTGGGCCAAAAATAGCTTAAGGGAACTGGCAACTTGTTTCATTGATTTAAGTTGCGCGGCAGAGCCAACACGAGACACGGAAAGTCCAACGTTGACCGCAGGACGGATGCCCTTATAGAAGAGTTCGGATTCCAAAAATATCTGCCCGTCTGTGATGGAGATCACGTTGGTAGGGATGTACGCAGAAACATCACCGCCTTGAGTCTCAACGATAGGAAGAGCGGTAAGAGAGCCGCCACCATGCTTGTCGTTCAATTTTGCTGCACGCTCCAAAAGACGTGAATGGAGGTAGAAAACATCTCCAGGGTAAGCCTCACGTCCAGGGGGCCGGCGAAGCAACAGCGACATCTGACGGTAGGCCACTGCATGCTTTGACAGGTCATCATACACGATAATAGCATGTCTGCCACTGTCTCGAAACCACTCCCCCATAGCACAGCCAGCAAAGGGAGCAAGGTATTGTAGAGGAGCAGCTTCCGAGGCCGTAGCTGCGACAATGATCGAGTATTTCATGGCATCATTTTCTTCAAGAGTCTTGACAAGCTGGGCCACAGTGGAGCGCTTCTGGCCGATAGCGACGTAAATACAGTACAGCCTGTCGGATTCAACAGAGGAGCTATTCCATCTTCTCTGATTTAGGATAGTGTCCAGAGTGATGGCCGTCTTCCCAGTTTGACGGTCCCCAATGACCAGCTCACGCTGACCACGGCCAATTGGCACCATGGCATCAATCGCTTTTATACCAGTCTGAACAGGTTGGTTGACGGAATGGCGAGGCAGAATACCAGGGGCCTTGAGCTGAGCCCGCCGCTTCTCGGTAGTTTTGATGGGCCCTTTGCCATCGATTGGACTTCCTAGTGCGTTAACCACTCGTCCCAGCATCTCAAGGCCAACGGGAATATCAACAATCTCGCCAGTCCGCTTGACAGTATCTTCCTGTTTGACAAGGCGATCCGAACCGAAGAGCACGATACCGACACGAGCAGCTTCCAGGTTCATACACATACCCTTCACACCGGACGGAAATTCGACCAGCTCTTCAGCTTGGATATTAGTCAATCCTCGGGCGCGAACGATACCGTCACCAACAGACAAAACTCGGCCTGTCTCTGTTAACTTAGTATCCTCCTCAATGCCGTGTATTCGGCGTTCCAGCGTTGAAGAGACTTCATTCGGTCCAGCCTTGGCGTTAATGGCATATGAACGAAATTGCTTGCAAAATGTCGCCAAATCTGGCGTTGGGCCATGGAATGATCTCCTGATCTTAAGGACAGAAGCAACATCGATGGCGCGATTAAATAGCTGCGAGGTGGGTTTGGGCATACCGAGCTAAATTCCACGATGTTAATGATGAGACCGCGCAAGAGGTCGGAGATAAGACGAAGTTAAACGGATCCCCAAATAATGACGTAACTATGGCTATGACAATCAACGTCGGAACATTGACAGATAAGTTTGCTTCGTCGGGAAGCCGGGCTTTATAAGCAGTGCGGTAATCTATGGTAGAATTGTCTGCGGTAATAACTGTACATACGGATTCTGAACTAGTATGCGGGTAGTGACGTATAAGACTAGCAAAGTCATATGACCAACTGCCATAGTTAATTGCATTGTTCTTAACTAAGGGTTCCAGATATTCTTAACAGGCACATAACCGCTACAACCAATGAATCCGCCTGTACCGCCGCGAGGGTGACGTAATGGTCATTCTAACTTATCTCCAACGGTATTTGGACAATTCATCCCAACATATAATACGAGATTCTGAGGGTACCCAACACCCATGAAACAATCTACGATAGCATCCGAAGTGGATTATCCAGAGCTTGAAAATGGACGGCACGGCTCAGTGTTCTCTGTTTCGGGACCTATCATCATTGCGGAGAACATGAGAGGCTGCTGTATGTACGAACTTGTGAGTATAACGGGGCCAGCTTGAGCATAATTCTCCTGACTGCCTTTTCCATAGTGCCGAGTAGGGTACGACCAGTTAGTGGGAGAGGTCATCAGAATAGAGAGAGACAGGATTACCATACAAACCTTCGAGGAAACAAGTACGTGTTTGCAAAGTTCTGCTCAGCTACACCCGCTGATACGGCCAAAATTCGCAGGTGGTATAGCAGTCGGCGATCCTGTCACTGGTACAGGACAGCCACTAGCTGTTGAACTTGGGCCTGGATTGATGGGCACAATCTACGACGGAATCCAAAGACCGTTGGAAGCTATATCGTCCCTGGCAAAAACCATCTACATCCCATGTGGAATTGATGTCCCGTCGCTCGACCGTAAAAAATCCTGGGACTTCAAGCCGGGAACGTTCAGAGTCGGAGATCACATCACTGGCGGCGATATCTGGGGAAGTGTCATCGAGAATAACTTACTTGATGACCACAAAATCATGCTTCCGCCGCGTGCGGGGGACAGATTACTCGAATAGCAGAGGCAGGCAGCTACACAGTCACAGAGAAGCTTTTGGCAGTTAAGTTTGACGGGAAAACCACGGAGTATAGTATGATGCATGTGTGGCCGGTGCGTGTTTCTCGGCCAGTTGCTGAGAGATTGTCCTGCGATGCCCCGCTACTCACTGGACAGAGGACCCTAGATGCTCTCTTCCCATGCGCCCAGGGCGGTACAGTATGCATCCCTGGTGCGTTCGGAAGTGGCAAGACCGTCATCAGCCAAAGCATTTCCAAATTCTCGAACAGCGATATCATCGTGTATGTCGGCTGTGGGGAGCGTGGTAATGAAATGGCTGAGGTCTTGATGGAATTTTCTATGGTATGTTGGGGAGCCGGCACGTACATTGATTTTAAGGATCTAATTTGAAACCTAGCGGTCAATAAAGCTCGAGGGTACATCAGAGCCTATACTGAAGCGAACTTGCCTCATCGCCAACACCTCTAACATGCCTGTCGCCGCTCGTGAAGCTTCAATCTACACTGCTATCACTATCTCGGAGTATTTCCGTGATCAAGGGAAAAATGTGACGTTGATGGCCGATTCAACCTCTCGTTGGGCCGAAGCCTTGCGTGAAATATCAGGTCGCCTAGGTGAAATGCCTGCGGATCAAGGGTTCCCTGCGTATCTAGGATCCAAGCTGGCTTCGTTCTATGAGCGTGCTGGACGGATCGTGGCTCATGGCAGCCCGAAAAGAAAGGGTAGCGTCAGCATTATCGGTGCAGTCAGCCCTCCCGGTGGAGACTTTTCAGACCCCGTCACCAGCAGTACTCTTGGTATTGTTCAGGTGTTTTGGGGCCTTGACACAAAGTTAGCACAGAGAAAGCACTTTCCGTCCGTCAACATCTCGTTATCCTACAGCAAATACCTAGCAGTATTGGATGAATACTACGAGAAAGAACACCTTGGCTTTCCGCAGCTGAGGGAAAAGATAAAAGAGCTTCTATATTCCTCTGACAACTTGAAACAGCTAATACAGCTGGTCGGCAAGGCTGCACTAGATGACCACGACAGGATAACACTTGATGTGGCTTCACTGGTTGAAGAAGATTTTCTACAGCAGAATGGATACAGTGAGTATGACGAGTTTTGCCCTTTATGGAAAACTGAGTATATGATGAAAGCTTTTATGCGTTTCCATGATGAGAGCCAACGAGTTATATCTGAGGGTCATAACTGGGCAAAAATCAAACAACTCACTGGAGGTATTTCAAGCACACTCCGAAATATGAAGTTCGAGATGGCTGATGATGAGGACACTGTGTCAGTGAAGGTGAGGAGTAGCGCGAAGTGCTATTATTTGATCTAGCCTGACGCTTTAACAGTACAATAGTTTCCTGCGAACAATATTAGAAAAATTGTCTCCATTTCAAGCCAGTGAGAGGCCACAAACACATGAACACGGATACCTAATTTTCTGATTCTTCAATCTATATTGCAAATCCACGGGTTCAATTTATTTTCTTTATTGTGGGTCCAGTCGGGCCTTACCGACACTAGGCAGATTCACTTAAACGAAAGACCATTGACTTTAGGGAACAGGATCTAAGATCGACATCAACTACTTCCCGCTACTTTTGAAAAGATTATTGTGGTAGGCTGATGCTCTCCAATCAGAAAACAGCTTAAATACGATCACCATAATCATTGCTTGAGGCAATAATTAGCCACCAAATGAATCCCTTAGAGGTCCTAAAGAATACCTCGTGATCCCTGGGATTCGTTTTTAATTCCTTGTCGTTCAGAATTCTGTATGCGATCTGATAGTTAGCACTCGTCGTCAAGAGGAAGGTACTGAGTATTGGTATCGACATCGGTAATCAACATGAACAATGAATGGCGAGATAAAGGAGAGATTAATACTCACGACACTCTCCTGAATTTCCCCTTTTTCCAATATACGAAGTATGACCTCTTGGTTATTGGATGTTCCGAACTCACGCTCAAGAGTATCCCTGCTGGCTTCATTATGCATCCCTTGAGGCCCATGTCTGCAAGTTGCAAGGTTCCATTAGCAGATAGCCTTGCGTGCGCCTCTTGGGCTCTCATTATTAGGCTGATAAATATTTCCTGAACTCGGATAATGCACGTGGATAAATGCAAGCAGGTACTTACTGATGTGAAGTAAATATTTTCCACCCATCCATCACCTGCGCGAGTGGTAGAGTGTGATCTTTCCTCCAGTTCTGCACCGCGGTAATATCCGCAACGAAGATGACGAAGTCTTCAGCCCGGCCCTTATAGTAAACCTTGGACTGCTTTGTATTCCCTCGGGTCATTCTGAATGGTGATGCTGCAGTTTTGTATCCGCTGTAACAACTTGTTGCGACAGGATAAGTAGTGCGGAAGGATGGTTAAGACAACGTTCACTAAATCCTCAGAAATAGCGAAAACAATAGTCGAGAAATATAATGGTGGCAACATCGACAGTTTCGATAGGCCTTGTTATCATGATGACGCAACGTACAATTTGGGCCATGGGTGCACCACAGCGTTAAGGTATTACTTGTAAAATACTGTAATTTATGTTCTAAAATGTCGTCGGTGTCTATTCCTGGCACATCAAGGATCTGCGGTGTGTAGCGGCGTAATTGGCTTAAGGAGTCTCTGAATAAGGAGTCTCTGAAAAACCACGTGCGCGCACCAGCGGCAGATGCTCACAGGTTGATGCGCGTAGTCCTCGGCCTAAACTGACACAATTAGAAGAGTATTCGTTTGTTGAATGGATTTTCTCTATGGATTCGCGCGGAGTAGCGCCTAGGCCCTTTACTGTGTGAGAAATGGCTAATGTCACTGCGAGAATCGTTTACTACCGTACAACAGGTTGTCTACGCATTCATGCAGACAAGATAATTATGCGGTTGTCGCCCTGACAGAGCCAGACTGCTTTCTCTCGCCTATACCCCCGATATTATTACCTGAAGGTAGCGCGCAACGAGCCATCAAAGCCAGGCTGCGGCGAATCACATAATGAAAGTCGCATAATCTCCACCCTATGATTCGGTGTGATCAAAGTGGAACCAACTACCAGAGTGCGCGAGGGTAAACTCCATCTCGTTAAGAGCTTAATTTTGAATGCTACTACTGGTCTCATATTTTCACGACTGTTTGATGACGTTGCGAACAGTTTTCATCAATGCAAAGAGTACACGTGTCAAAATATGATTTTCAACGTTAAGCTCAAAACGTGCACCTAATATGAGCCTCCGGCAGTTGCAGTGGCAGTATGTAAGCATCTTTCAACATAATGTTGCCACAATCGAATTGAGTTGACCCTTCCGAGATGGGTTTTACGATATTTCTTTAATCGGTATAGTTGAGTGCTCAAGTAACGAAGGTAGCCTCTGACAGATGCAGCCTCAGCACGTCGGCGGACTGGAAAGCGACGACGAGATTTCCTCTGAGTATGGTTGATCATGAGCCACGCTTTACCTTAGCCTCTTGTACGAGTCTCAATCGCACGAGATACAGTCTACTGCTGGCAAAACCAAACCACAAAAGTGCAAGCAGCGGAGGCAGCGGTGGCGAAAACTCAAAGCAAGGAGAGCACAATGTTTAAGCTTCTCAACCTGCCTATTGATTAATAGAACCTGTTGTACGACATCAATCGCGCACTTCTTTACTGCTAGTTGACGCTAGGAACAAAAGAGATGATTCCAGGAGCCGTTGCTCCCACGATGTTGATTTCTGGAGCCGTCTACCTATTCCTAGGGAGATGTAATCCATTTCGACGACATCAGTCTAAGCTGCTGTTGACAGCCCCATCGCGGTGGGAAATAAATACGAGCAACCCTGCGCGAACTTCTATCGGGCCTGAAAACCTGCTTAGTTAACGTGGTGGACATCTTCGAGTTGATTTTAAAGACCAACCATCCGTAAATCTCTCGGGTCAGTACAGAAGAACACCTCGATGACAAGTGCTGTCAAGGGGCAGTGTGATGTAAAATAAGGATCTAGGTATAATTGTCAGAGTAGTTGAATTGGCCATTGGGTAATTTTTATCACCTGCCCAGATGCACCACGTCATAGGTTAACGAACGTGGATCGGTATCCCTCTTTTCCACCCCTCTTTTCCACCTCTCTCTTTTCCACCTCTCTCTTTTCAACCTCTCTCTTTTCCACCCCCAAATACTACTCACAACCATGGTTTTTCTCTCTCGTGTCGAAAAGGGCGACGAGGTCTTCGACCTATCTACCCACAAGATTGGTTCCATCGAAAGTGGGTCTGATAATAATGACTATACCAATGTTTACGGTAGCCATTTCGCCACCGATCATCTTCCCTTACATGAGATGCCAGAGCGTGAGATGCCGCGTGAGATCGCTTCTCGCATGGTCACGGAGGAACTAAGTCTCGATGCCAACCCCAGACTCAAGTGTGCTGCTCTCTTGCTTAATTTCCTAGCAGCATATACTAACGTCTGCCCAGCCTAGCTAGTTTTGTCACGACTTACATGGTATGTGAAGAAGGCAAGAGATCACCCACCGTCCGCTAAATGAAACAAATGTAGGAAAAAGAGATTGAGTCAATTATGACCGACTCATTTGGGAAGAATTTCATTGACTACGAGGGATATCCCCACACCGCCGAGATTCACAACCGTTGTGTCAACATGATCGGGCGCTTATTCAATTGCCCGACTGATGCCAAAGGCGAGAACGCCATGGGCACGTCGACGGTTGGATCCTCCGAAGCCATTATGCTGGGTACGCTCGCCATGAAGAAGCGCTGGCAGAACAGGCGCAAGGCTGAGAACAAGGATTTCTCCCATCCCAACATCATTATGAACAGCGCCGTCCAGGTTTGTTGGGAGAAGGCTGCCCGGTACTTCGATGTTGAAGAGAAATATGTCTACTGCTCTGAAAGTCGCTACGTGATCGACCCTAAGCAGGCGGTCGATCTAGTGGATGAGAACACGATCGGCATCTGCGCCATCATCGGCACCACCTACACCGGCGAGTACGAGGACGTCAAGGCTATTAACGACCTGCTGATCCAAAATGGTATTGACTGCCCTATCCACGTTGACGCAGCCAGTGGCGGCTTTGTCGCCCCGTTCACCTGGCCTGACCTAGAATGGGACTTCCGCCTTGAGAAGGTAGTTTCTATTAATGTCTCTGGCCACAAGTATGGCCTAGTATACCCTGGTGTTGGTTGGGTCATCTGGCGCTCCCCTCAGTACCTTCCCCAAGAATTGCTATTCAACGTCAACTACCCAGGCGCCGATCAAGCTAGTTTCACCCTTAACTTTTCTAAAGGTGCCTCTCAGGTCATCGGCCAGTACTATCAGTTGATCCGGCTAGGTAAACACGGCTACCGGTCAATTATGATTAATCTCACTCGCATTGCCGATTATATGGCGGGTGAGCTGCGGAAGATGGGTATGATTCTCATCAGCCAGACTAAGGGCCGTGGCTTACCACTGGTGGCATTTCGTCTGCCCCCAAACCCCGACCGCTTGTACGACGAGTTCTCTCTAGCACACAAATTGCGAGAGTACGGTTGGGTCGTTCCTGCGTACACTATGGCACCCCACAGCAATAAAATGCAACTAATGCGCGCCGTCATCCGCGAGGACTTCAGTATGAACCTCTGCGACAGCTTGCTGCAGGATATCAAACTGGCCCTACTGGTTCTGGAAGGCATGGATCAGGCTATGATAACCAATTACAAAGCGTAAGTCGGCCTTTCCTTCGCTTCCGGCCCTTCTGACATTCTTCAGGAATATACGGAGCCAGCGTGCCCACGCGCAGCACCAGGAGCGAACTCTTCCTTTCTACCAAAAAGATAGACACTCGCTGCAGGGCAAGAGCGGCAAGACATACGGGGTGTGTTGATTGTTCAAACACCCTGATACCGTCTGAACAGATTACTAGTTCCCTACGAATTAACGAATTATTTCAAGTGGGCACGTTAAAACATAGACAAGTCGTTGATGGATCACAGGATCTCCGTACGCCCTAGTACTGAAAGAACCAAGTTCATATGATTGACTGAAGAGCTATATAGGAAATCGATGTTGAGAGCGTCTTTAACCTAAGAGGCTATTGTTGGCCTGTTGCGATTTAGGTAGTTCAACTTGACCCGATTTACCATACAAAACACTAGGGAGATTGCATATTTGTCAGAGCAAGCTAAAACAGTATTGACTAGTATGCATTACGTGGAGAAATCTTGCAAAGAAAACGCATTAGTAGAGATTGAAATAACTGAATTGATTGAGGAAGTAAAGGAGTGGAAGGCGAGAGGGTATGTTAAATACCCCCAGAGGGCATTTACTAAATGCCGTAGTACCCGCGAGATACTCGACAGTTTTAGCGCAGGATCACAAGGTTACTTGCTGAAAAGCATGAAGTTACATACAAAATGCAAGAAAGATGGGGAGGCGGAACAACCGAATCGAGTTAGCCGTAAGTATCGGCTCCATTTCCTTAACAATGTTCAATCGTCCCATCCTTAGCGGTAAAATATCCCTGCTCAGTTCGACAGCAATTAGCGCCTCTAACATGCTTGGTCGCACGACGTGAACAATTTTCTTCACTATTCCCTGGCCCACCATGTTTCCACCACCACAATCCGGTCCCCCAACCCCAACCAGTCGGAGGCCCTTGGACGTGATATGGGCGACTTGGGCGAGTGACAATCCATGTGTTGTAGTATAAAAGGAAGCTTAATTCTTCTTCTTGAGGGAAAACATGAGGGTATATATACAACGCGAAGTCCAAGTTGATTGGAAATCAACTTGGTTCTTCTCATACATAGAGCAGGAATTATTTCCGATGTTGCGGCTTCATTCCTGAGCAGCCACAGCCCAAATCACAACATTCCCCCTCAGGATCGCCGTGCTAGCGAGGCGATACTGAACATATGCACATCGGTCAGGCCTCGGTAAAACCACTCAAAACCTCGAAGAGGAGAAATAGTGGAAAGAGCGCCATCGCGGTTACACATTTTCCTTCATGTGTTCTTCAGTACCAATTCCTAAGAGCTTGCAAAACTTGATGAATGGAGAGGGTCCTAGAGGCTTGGTGAGTCGATCAGCCGCCTGTTCCTCGCTTGGATTGTATTCGAGATTGATTTCTCCGGGTTTCAGAACAGCACGCTGGTAATGGAATTTCACGTTGAAATGCTTCGTCCGTTTGTGAAACTCCGGATTGCGGGAAAGAGCAATAGCAGATTGATTGTTAGCCATGATGTTGGTCACCGGTGATCGAAACAGTTGTGTTTCCGCCAGAAATGTGCGGACCCATTGCAGGTGAAGGATAGCATTGTATTGGCCAATGTACTCGGCGTGAGTCGTGGACGTCGCCACTTCCCCCTGTCTTTTGGATGACCAGGAAACTGGTGCTCCCGCAAGTTTGAACACATAGCCAGACGTGGAGTATGCACCATTAGTGACGATATGTTGAGTGTGCTAGACACTTTCTTAGCGCATGGCCATTGTCCATTCTTTCCCTCGCCTTTGCCTTTTCCCCTTGCTTTCCCTCTATCAACGCTGTCTCCTTATTGGACAACGGCACGCTGAATATTACATTACAATGACATCATGTCGCGGCTATATTTTAACGGTGTTCCGTGGTATTGGAAGCTCAGTCCACTTACCAGCCGAGGTACTGTAAGAAACCACGCTTGACCTAGACCCCTTATCGAGGTGGACACATCAATTTCCTTCTTGTCCATGGTCCGAATCTCTTAACAGGCAAGGTTTCCCGCCTGCCTCTTGTCGACTGCGTGCCATTAGCAGAAATCCGATCCATCCCGAAAGAATCGACCATTATTTCATTCAATCCTCGCCTGTGTCGTTTAACTCAGTCATTTCTTCCATCGTCCGTAGTCCTCTTTGGGATACGACTTTCCCCCCTCCTCTCCCCCTCCCCCGGGGCCCGCTGCCCGGGGCCAACACCTCCCGTGCCCATTTTTAACCAGATGTTGAATACCGCCCAATACACCCCTCTTTCCAGTTGATATCTCATCCAACCTCGATCCGCATGGACTGTGACTTCGCGAATCTATCGGGTAGAGTTTTGATTGTGTGCATTGCAGGGTCTCGGAGAAAAATGATTGAAGATTGATAATATACCTGCTTAGAGACGACTAGTTTGGCATGTCTCGTTCGTCTGGATCGCTCAAAATCAATCAATATTTGAATTCGCAGGGGGCGAGGAACTGGCCCACCAACCTGCTATGCCCTGCGTCGAGAGCGGGAATCGGGTGATCGAGATGCCCAATACGAGCTCCTCGCCTGCCTTCTCGCTAAAAATCGATGTCACTTCGCCCCGTTCCCATCTGCTATCCGTGCCCATTCCGGCCCGTCGTGGCAAGTTAGCAGGGCCAGCAAGCAGCGCTCAACCATCAAGAAATATGGCAGTAACGACTCGGGTTCCTTTTTGTCCTGCCTGCTGTACTTGTTCTTTCCACCGTACCTTGTGGTCGAAGATCACACCAAGAGCGTGGCGGTTGCTGACGGTGTGATGGTCTTGTCGCCCATGACAAGCTGACCTTGGCACTGTTCTTTCTTTTCCTGGTGCTGTGGATGAGCTCAGTCTTCTCCGGTGCGAAGTGGGACCCTGTTTTCCGGGCACATGCTTCGATCCGGTGACCCGGCTTAAAGGAAGTAAACCACTAAATTTGGACAACTACGGCGGACTATAGGAGCCAGATGGTCATAACCTCAATTTCTTCTTACACGACTGTTATGCGGACGGCCAGGTATTATTTGCAATTTTTAGGCGAGACCTGCAGGCAGTGAAGAGTACGACCACATCAAAAACGTAGGTCAATTGTAATTCATACCCCGGAGAAACACCAAAGTCCTGGGCAACTTCCATCCTGGGTAGAAACTACCTATAGAGATGAGGGGTATAAAGTGAAAATGCCACACACCTCTACCCCTCTCCGGTATTTAATATGCCAAAAAAAGAATAAATAAGAAAGTGGTGCAGTCCACGCTGTCTCAGTTTCAGAGATTTATGATTTGGCAAGAGTGGGGGGTGTATATGGCTGGTACTCTTCTTTTTCACCTCGGTGCCGTCGTGGCAGATGATGCGTAGACCATCCGCATTCGGCTGGGGCAACTGTAGTAAACCACGGTTCGAAAATATTATCGTCTCTTCTCGGAGGGTGAAAATCATAATATAGATCATTTGCTCACTGCTACTATGTATTATTCGCACCCTTCACCCCTTCGCTCAAGGGAATTGGTACTGATAGCACGAAATTCTTTTTAAATCAAGTCTCTCAATTTGGATCAAAGAAACCGTGCCTTCGCGATTGACACCTATTCTATGATCATCAAAGCTCTTTATACGACAAACAACAAACTGATTTAGCTGGCCCTCCTCTGGAAAAAATTATAGCGACTGAGACTACAAATAATGGCATCGAGTGGAAATGAAGGCGGCAACAGGAGCATCTCCGCCTATGGACATGCTCGGTCGACAGTGAGCGGAGAGCCTCTTGACCCTGAAGATGTTGGGAAGATGAACGCATACTTCCAGGCTAGTATGTACCTATGCCTGGGCATGCTCTACCTTCGTGACAATCCATTACTCAAGGAGCCTCTCAAACTGGAACATGTCAAAGCTCGGCTCTTAGGCCACTGGGGATCGGATGCCGGGCAATCCTTTACGTGGATTCATATGAATCGTCTGATTAAAAAGTACGACCTCGATGTACTTTTCGTATCCGGCCCTGGACACGGTGCTCCCGCAATCCTATCACAGTCGTATCTTGAGGGTGTCTACTCTGAGGTCTATCCCGATAAAAGCGAAGATATACATGGCATGCAAAGGTTCTTTAGGCAGTTCTCATTTCCAGGCGGTATTGGCAGCCATGCGACCCCTGAGACTCCCGGGAGTATCCATGAGGGTGGTGAATTGGGATATTCTATCTCGCACGCTTTCGGGACAGTCTTCGACCATCCCAACCTCATAACCCTGACAGTGGTGGGTGATGGTGAGGCGGAGACGGGCCCCCTTGCGACTAGCTGGCACAGCACGAAATTCCTTAACCCATGTACCGATGGAGCGGTCCTTCCTGTTCTCCATCTCAACGGATACAAGATCAACAACCCGACAATTCTTGCACGGATTAGCCACGATGAATTGTCATCATTGCTCGTTGGTTACGGATGGACACCATTTTTCGTAGAAGGAAGCGATTTGGACAGCATGCACCAGGCCATGGCCGCTACACTTGAACAATGTGTCCTAGACATCAAGAAGTACCAGGAGGAAGCTCGGAAATTCATAGGGGCGTTCCGACCACGCTGGCCGATGATAGTTCTCCGTACTCCTAAGGGGTGGACCGCTCCAAGGAAGGTCGGTGGCAGGCTCTTGGAGGGTTTCTGGCGCGCGCATCAGATCCCAATTACCGATGTCGCTACAAATCCAGAACACTTGAAGCTGCTGGAGACATGGATGAAGAGCTACAAGCCGGAAGAGCTCTTTGACAAAGATGGAAAGCTGGCTCCTCAATTGAAGGCACTTCCCCCAAGGGGAACATCGCGGATGAGTGCTAATCCAACTGGCAACGGCGGTCTTCTTCGCAGACCACTGAATTTGCCGGATTTCCGAGATTATGCCTTGCGTGACATCGATCAGGGTGTTTCCATCCGAGGAAGCATGGTGAACATGTCGAAATTTCTTCGGGATACTATTTCCAAGAACATGACTAGTTTCCGGGTCTTTGGCCCTGATGAAACCGAGTCCAATAAGCTATCAGAAATTTATAAGGCAGGTAAGAAGGTCTGGATGGGGGAGTACTTTGAAGCGGACAAAGACGGAGGAAACTTGGCCACTGAAGGCCGTGTGATGGAGATGCTCAGTGAGCACACTTG